ACAGTCAGGTTAACTGGCACTGTGGACATGGGGAAGGCAGTGGACTGATATACTTTTACTTTAACAAGGATTTTGATGGCGTCTTCCACAGTATTCTTGCCAGGGAGTTATGGAAGTATGGATTGGATAAATGGATATTAAGGTGGACAGAAAGCTGGCTAGATTATCAGGCTCATCGGGTAGCAATCAATGACTTGATGTCTGGTTAACAGTCGGTATCAAGCAGAGTGCCCCAAGAGTTCGTTCTAGGGCTGTTTTTCAACATCATTATTAATGACCTGGATGAAGGGATGGACTGCACTCTCAGCAAGTTTGCAAATGACACTAAGCTAGATAGAGGCAGATACGTTGAAGGGTAGAGATAGAGTCCAGAGTGAGCTAGACAAATTGGGAGGATTGGGCTGAAAGAAATCTGATGAGCTTCAACAAGGACAAGTGCACAGTTCTGCACTTGGGACGGAAGAATCCCAAGCACTACTATAGGCTGGGGACCGACTGGCTAAGCAGCAGTTCAGCAGAAAAAGACCTGGGGATTACAGTGGATGAGAAGCTGGATATGAATCAACAGTGTGCCCCTTGTAGCCAAAAGGCTAATGGCATATTGGGATGCATTAGGAGGGGCACTGCCATCAGATCTAGAGAAGTGATTCCCCTTTATTCGGCATTCGTGAGACTACATCTGGAGTACTGCATCCAATTCTGGGCCCCTCCCTACAGAAAGGATGTGGACGCATTGGAGAAAGTCCTGCAGATGGCAACAAAAATGATTAGGGGACTGGAATACATGACTTAGTGGAAAGGATGAGGTATTTGGGCTTCTCTACATAAGAGAAGAGTGAGGGAGGATTTGATAACAGCCTTTAACTACCTGAAAGGATGTTCTGAAGAGGATGGAGAGAGGCTGTTCTCAGTAGTGACAGATGGCAGAACGAGAAGCAACTGTCTCAAGTTGCAGTGGGGGAGATATAGGTTGGAAAGTCAAAAACTCAAAACGTAATAGTAAAATGTTTTTAAGTACTGTACATCAGAAGCAGGAAGCCTGATAAACAACCAGTGGGGTCCTTGGATAATCGAGATGCTAAAGAAGCACTCAAAGATTATAAAAGCAGGAAGCCTGATAAACAACCAGTGGGGTCCTTGGATAATCGAGATGCTAAAGAAGCACTCAAAGATTATAAAGTCATCACAGAGAAACTAAATGAATTCTTTGCTTTAGTCTTCATGGATGAGGATATTGGGGAGATTCCCAAACCCGAGCCATTCTTTTTAGGTGACAAATCTGAGGAACTGTTCCAGATTGAGGTGTCAATAGATGAGGTTTTGAAACAAATTGACAAACTTAACAGTAACAAGTCACCAGGACCAGATGGCATTCACCTAAAAGTTTTGAAAGAACTCAAATGTGAAATTGCAGAACTATTAACTGTGGGTTGTAACTTATCCTTTAAATCAGCTTCTGTATCTAATGATTGGAAGATAGCTAATGTGACATCAATATTTAAAAAGAGCTCTAGAGGTGATCCTGGTAATTACAGACTGGTCAGTACCAGGCAAATTAGTTGAAACAATAGTAAAGAATAAAATTGTCAGATATATAGAAGAACATAATTTGTTGGGAGAAAGTCAACATGGTTTCTTTAAAGGGAAATCATGCCTTACTAATTTACTAGAGTTCTCTGAAGGGGTCAACAAACATGTGGACAAGGGAGATCTAGTGAACATAGTGTTCTTAGATTTCCAAAAAGCCTTTGACAAGGCCCCTCACCAAAGGCTCTCAAGTAAAGTAAGTTGTCATGGATAAAAGGGAAAGTCCTTTCATGGACTGATAACTGGTTAAAAGACAGGAAACAGAGTAGGAATAAACAGTAAGTTTTCAGAGTAGAAAAAGGTAACTAGTGGGATCGGCCAAAGGTCTGTCCTGGGACACATCCTATTCAATTTATTTATAAGTGATCTAGAGAAAGGGGTACACAGTGAGGTGGCAAAATTTGCAGATGATACCAAACTGTTCAAGATAGTTACAACTAAAGCAGACTGAGGAGCTTCAAAAAGATCTCACCAAACTAAGTGATTGGGCAACAAAATGGCAAATGAAATTCAATGTTGATAAATGTAAAGTAATGCACATTGGAAAAAATAATCCCAACTATATATACACACAATATGATGGGGACTAATTTAGCTACAACTACTCAAGAGAGAGAGAGATCTTGGAGTCAGTGTGGATAGTTCTCTGAAAACATCCACTCAGTGTTCAGTGGCAATCAAAAAAAGCAAACAGAATGTTAGGAACCATTAAAAAGGGATAGAGAATAAGACAGAAAATATTTTATTGCCTCCATATTAAAAACCATGGTATGCCCAAATATTGAATACTACATACAGATGTGGTGTCCTCGTCTCAAAAAAGATATATTGGCATTGGAAAAGATTCGGAAAAGGGCAACAAAAATGATTAGGGGTTTGGAATGGGTGCCATGTGAAGAGAGATTAAAAAGACTTGGACTTTTCATCTTAGAAAGGAGAAGACTCTGGGGGTATATGATAGAGGTCTATAAAATCATGACTGGTGTGGAAAAGGTGAACATGGAAAAGTTACTTATTCCCACAATATAAGAACTAGGGGTCATCACATGAAATTAATAGGTAGCAGATTTAAAACAAACAAAAGGAAGTTTTTCTTCATGCAGCGCACAGTCAACCCGTGGAACTCCTTGCCAGAGGATGTTTTGAAGACTAGGACTTTAACAGGGTTCAGAAAAGAGCTAGATAGATTTATGGAGGTGAGGTCCATCAATGGCTATTAACCAGGCTGGGTAGGAATGGTGTCCCTAGCCAGTTTCTCTGGAGGTGGGTGACACGGGAGTGATCATGTGAGATTACCTGTTGTGATCCCTCTTTCAGTGGCCAATACCAGATTCCCCAGTCAGCAGACAGGATAATGGGCTAGATGGACTTTTGGTCTGACCCACTATGACCATTCTTATGTTCTATGTTGATATTAGGAAAAACTATTTTACTAGGAGGGTGGTGAAGCACTGGAATGGGTTACCTAGGGAAGTAGTGGAATCTCCATCCCTAGAGGTTTTTATGTCCCTGCTTGACAAAGCCCTTGCTTGGATGATTTAGTAAGGGTTGAGCCTGCTTTGGGCTAGAGGTTGGACTTGATGACCTCCTGAGGTCTCTTCCAATCCTAAGATTCTATACCAAAGGTTCACGTTGCTAAAACAAGCTCAAAGAAACACTATCAATACCTTATATCAGTGGCTTCCAACCTTTTTTATACAGCAGACCGGCAAACCCATTCATAAACTATTGGCGGACAAGGAACATTTTATTTTTAGCAAATAATGATTATGCAAATATGTAAATAAAATAATACCTGTCTGCCAACCCCCTCACCCCATCCTGTCACTGCACATCCCTCTGCCTCCAACCCCAAAACTCCCTGAACCTGTCTAGCCAACCTTGGTACTCTGTCTCTGGATTATTAAACTTGCCATCATCTGATATTCCCTATATCCCACTAACCTCATTACCTCACAAGTCTGCGTTGCCAAGCCTGTCACCCAGTGCCCACTATCTCCCACTTCCCAACACCCCCTGCTGCCAACTTTCTTTCGTCGGCCACCTCTGTCTTGCCTAGAGCCTATCCTGCATCCACAGGAACTACCAGAGTTGGCATGCTGTGTCCCAGTGACCCTGACTTAAATTGACAACTTCCCATTTCCCTGGATCCTGCCCCACTACCCCGGTGTCCCTTGCTCCACGAATACCTGTTGTGCCAAACTCTGATCCTACCCCACTGACCCTGCAACTGCCTGTTCCACAAGCTCTGAGGCCTTGACCCTGCTCAGATGCCCTCAGATCTGCTGTCCCGTGAGACAGAATCATGAGCTCTACCACACCTGGCCCCATAATCTGTGACCCACTACAACCCACCCTTCTTGCCCTTTGACCTCTAATCCCTGCCCTCCCTCAGCCCCAGCCCTCCCCCCTTTAACTCCTAGCCCAAACTCTGCCCCTTGCTCCCCAGTACCTAATACCCTTTGACCCCCAACCCAATGCCCTTTGCCCATTTAACCTCTGATCCCTACAGCCCATGCCAATACTCTCTTGCCCCATGACCCCACCACACCCCCACCCAACCCTCAGAGCCAGGCTACATTCTCTAGGGAGTGTGGTCATTATTGCCATGGGGGCAGGGGAATCAGCCACTGGCAGTGCACCCCTTCCCTTCTCCTTTACGCCCACTCCCTCCCCAAGTACATCTCACACCCCCATGGGTAGAGGCTGGGTGGAGGGGGAGCACGCTAGCTTACTTGGGTGGGAGGGGGGCGGGGAGCACCTCCTGCTCTGCCTCCTCCTGCTGCCATCTCAGCCCCAGCACCACTGCAAGGCAAAAGCAGCTGCCAGAGCTGAAGCTGGCTGCTGTGCAGTGCATCAGGGGGCCAGGGTGAGCCCTGGCCCCCAGAGCCACTGCGAACAGCGGGCTTCAGCTGGCAGCCACTGTGGCCCCGCAGCCAACAGTTTGTGGCCTGGCACCATTCCAAGAACCAGCGGTTGGGAACCAGTTTTCTCTGGACTCTGGAAAGCTCCAAACTTGCACATTTAGGCTACATGTACACTGCAGAGCTATTTCAGGATACTGGAAGTATCCTGAAATAGCTATTCAGTGTCTTTAAAGCAGCCCTTTATTTTTAAATAGCTATTAGTACAACAGGTGTACTACTCTGGCATCCCTGTAACCCTCGTTCCACAAGAGTTAAGGGACATTTCGGAATAGCGCTTTATTTCAAAATGTGGCACTGTGAAATTACCTTGAAATAAGCTACGCAATATTGCATAGCTTATTTCAAAGTAAGGGTGAAGTGTATGCGCACCCTTACTGTGAAAACAAGCAACTTCAGACATAACTACTTCAAATTCTAAAGAAATCCAAGTCATAGCAAATCTACAGGTCCTTTTCAAGCTTGGTTTCTTCAAAATTAGGGTCTTACCTTTGCTGGTGACCGCTGTTTTCTTTTCTTTTTTTTCTGCAAATCTACTGGCTCTCGTATTTGTTTTTTGTCTCTCTTCTGTTCAGATGCATCAGTAAAGGTAATTTCCTGCTTTACACTGATCTGTTAAGATACCAAGTGCCAGTTTCAGGGAAGGTCCTAATTATCAAAAAGCAATTTCTCATTTTCAAATGACAAACTGCTGAAAAAAAGGCTAAGATTTTTGCAGAGGGTATTGTCCCATGGTTTCATTCTTTTACAACATTTACAAAAGGGAGCAATCAATATATTAAATGCAGAAAGGACATAATTCTATTCATATTTACAGTTTGCTGTACCCTCTCAACTCATCAACATAATTTAGGGTTTTTTTTCTGACCTTTAAGTATATCTTTGTGATTCCTAATGCTTACCAAAATCTCTCAGATATGCATATAATCACTCTTTTTAAAAATACATGTATTTTTTTTTGCCAATCATATTACCAATGGCAGGATTTAACAGAAACAGATTAATTTACTATATATTTGAGCTAAAAAAATTTAAAATACAGTTAATGAATTTTTCCCAGTAATATTTCTTGATCGAATGTCAACTTCATTAAAGATCATAGTGTTAAATATTCCTGATGTGTTTTCTAAACTATCAAACAATCTTTTATCTCCAGTTAAAGGGAAGCTCTCCGAATTTCCACAGTTTTTTTAACAAAGCTCTAGTTGAGAAAAACTATTATTTCTTTTTACACTTATATAACTCGTCTTTTTAAATCAACACTTCAATAAATACCCAAACCGAAGTATGCAATTTTACATAGTAATAATGTAATGTTACAAAACAATGCCTATTTTCAAATGTGTCTTCTCCTTATAGTGAATGGAAGACACTATTAAACACAACGGAATACAACATATGGGCATCTACAAAGTGTCTCATGTTCAACCTGCAGCATGAATGCAAGCAATACCTGTCAAACGCTAAATTTCTATACGAGATATACTTTAAAAACATGTACAGAAATGCTTCAGGTTGCAAAATGAAAAAAAATGTCCAGACATGGACCAAATGTGCTATTCATAAAACAAATAAATCATGCAGGTTGGTCCTTCTAATACTATTACTTATCCTAGTTTATATTTGTTCTTTAATATTTATTATTTTGTGATTTTAAGTGTTTAATGTTAACCAGTCAATTCACATAGTAACAAAGCCAGTATAACTATCAATTTTTTTTTTACAAATAGATGCTTATTATAAAAATGGAATACAACTGGGTGAAACTCACCTTGATGCACATAACCTACAAAAAGTTGCAATACACCCTTTAAACAGACTTAAGCTCATGAAGCTTAATTTAAATGAGATATAGGTTCTTGTAGACCCTCTGAAATGAATTTCACCCAATCATTAGCTAAAAACACTTTCATAAATAGCATCTTATTAATATATATTTTTATAATCAAAATGCAAACAACTCATAATGTATTCCTAACAACTTTACCAAGCCATCCTTCCTAAATGAGTGTGCAGTATTTCATGAAGAAAATGCTTACAGGAACATTGACTGCATACTGTAATCCTTGAGGAAGTCTCTCTTGAGCCTCCATCTCTTCATCGTTTTTTACAGTCTCCTCATGGACCATGAGTTCATCATGTGAAATCATCTCTTGCTGGCGAAGCTCACTTTCTTGTAAGACTTCATTTGATGAAAGAATTTCTTGATGTGCCATAGTCCGGTCTTGAAGCACTGCCTCTTGCCGTTCCCCAGACACTGAAGATTGGTCAGATATTGCACCCATCCCTACCATAGCCCTGGATGACTGCATTTGGTCTATGCCACCACATTTAAGAAATAATCCTCCAAGTTTGTCTTCAATATTCATGCTTAAGTGCAATAGCCTACAAAGAGAAGTATAACAAGTGAATATTTACAAATGGGGAAGTTATTAAATTTCTTTCTTCAAACATTTTTTTAAAAAGTTTTACAAAATATAGTCCACAAAACATCTAAATATCTTTCCTGTAGGAACTGTCCAGGGCTTTCAATACTTCATCTTTCCTGGAATAAGCTAAAGAGGATTACTTACAAACAAACAAACAAACAAACAAACAAACAAACAAACAAAACACACACACTCTCTCTCTCTCTCTCTTTCAAATAAGATGTAGTTTAGTATCTTTTTGCCAATATAATGGGTTAATAGTTATATGAATTAATAGCCAAAATGAACTTAAATATATTTCCTACCCTTAAAGGAAGCAAACTGCTTCAATTTTTTAAATTTTCTGCCTCTCTTCCCCATCCGCCCTCCCTCTTTAGTGCCTAATCCTTCTCCTGAAGTGGCCTCCTTTCACTGTGCTCTCTCTTCTCTACCGCCTCTCTTTATGTGCGCTGCTTCTCCTGTCACAACTGCCTCAGTCTGTCAGAACAGTTTTCTCTTCACAAAGGAAAGAAGGAAGAATGTTTAGGCTTTTCTTGCTGCTGCTGTTGCTGCATGTGAAGGAAGAGGAGTAATTAAACATACTTACAGATGGATGATCACCTCCACATCCACTCAGACACTAGAGTATGAGTCAGGGTGTATGGGTTTAGATACTTCCCCCACTAATAGTGCAAAACTTGGTAAGAAATAGGCAGTAGTTCAGCTTCCTCCATTCCACCTCAGTTAGGCCTGGTCTGAACTAGATGTGGCTAAGTTTGACCTAAACTCCCAAACAATGAATCCATACCACCAAGCCCATTCTGTCGACTTTAAGTCGATTTCAGTATCCTGCTTTCACAAGGAGTAATGCTAAATTTGACTTTGCATGTCAACTTTACTGCAGTACAGACACAGCACTGTGAAATTCGACGTTCTTGGCCCCCAGGTGGTGTCCCACAGTGCCCAGCTGTGACCACTCTGGCTAGGACTTTCAACTCTACTGCTCTCCAGGTGAACAGGAAAAGCCCCAGGAAAATATGAATCTCATTTCCTGTTTGGCCAGCATAGCAAACAGACCTCAGAGCAGGCCGCACACCTGACCAGCACATCTATGAGTTCCCAGGGTTGTAGACGAGCACCAGTAAGGAACATGCAGGAGATTCTAGATCTCATTGCTGTCAAAGAGGAATCTGTTCTCACGGAACTGCAAACCAGCAAAAGATACGCAGATATCTATGCCAAGATTGCAAAGGGCATGGAGGAGAAAGGATACTCCAGGAGTCTAGAAAAGATACATCTAGCAGTACTGAATGAAAATAAAGGAGTCATACCAAAAACAAAAGGAGTCAAATGGATTGTCAGGATCTTTGCTGAAAATATGCAGCTTCTATGAGCAGATGTATGTGATCCTTGGGGGGAACCGACCAGTTTCCCTAGCCAGTCAGTGGATTCCTCCCAAGACAATCTTCAGACAGTCTCATAGCAGCATGGAGGACATTGCGGATGAGAAAGAGTAGGAGGAGAATACTCAGTTAAGCAAGCAGAGCCACCAATGTCACTGAGAGCCAAGAACTTTTTAGAACTTCTAGGGGAGACAATCCCCTTCTAGGGTTACAAGGTTACTATAAAATGATGTATTGTTGAAATTGTCCATCAATACACAGCTCAGTCTTCCTCCATCCCAACAGTAGTGCAAGTTCAGTGGCCTATTCTACATTTACCAACTTTTCTTCCTCTCCATTAGCTTCATGTGCCATCTCTTTTCCGTTAATTCCTAAATCTACTTCTCTTGCCCTGACTTCTCCCTCTCTCTCACATTTCTTGGCTGCCTAGTGAATTCTAGCCTAACAAATTAAAGAAAGGCTATGATCACCTTGAGAAAAAAATCAAATTATTTTAGTAACCTGGACTCTTATAATAGAATTTTAGTTTTTCTTCTCTTTCTCTCTTCACTAGCCCATCTCCCCTTCTTAGTTTGAATTATGGTTGCCAGAAGTCCAGTTTTTGATTGGAACATTTGGTCAAAAAGGAAGACCGGCAGCATCCAGTCAAGGAAATGAAAAGTTCAGTTGTATGCAGTAATCAGCTTCTGCCACTGGGGAGGGAGGTGGGAAGGGTAGCAGTTGCCATTGGAGTTACATGAAGGAGATGCTCTCTGCTCATTTTCTGAAGCATTTCAGAGCAGTGGATGGCTTCCAGACCAGGCTCCAAGAAGTAGGTTCTGTCATCTGGGTATGGCGATCTTCTCTGCCTGGGGTTGGGGGGATACCACCCATCCCCTCTTCGGCCCTTCTGTGTCCTGATTTTACCAGCTCTCACCCCTCTCCTCTCTGCTGCATAGCTGCGCGCTGCCTGGTTGGTAGACATGCTCATGCAGCGTGAGCGTCTACACCAGCCAGACAGTTCGCAACTACGTACTGATACTCCTAATAATAATAAAACTTACCTAATTAGAAAATACCGGACATTTTGTGTGTCCGGTATTTTCTTAATTTTTTCCTCGGACAGAACCCTCAAATACTGGTCTGTCTGGTTCAAAACCGGACACCTGGCAACCCTATCGCTTTCTCCCAGGATGTCTCACAGCCAGGCACTGGTCCCAGGGAGGATACTTCTGGTGAGTTTACATTTTTTATCTTGCTAAAAGTAGTTTAAAGCAATCAGGTGTGATTTGTGGTGGCCACTGTGCCCACACAGTGGGGGTCTGTAGAACAGGACCGTGGGGGAAGTTTACAGGCAAGCACACTGAATGCAGGCAGTTGGGGGCAAAGATGTCAATGTGTGTTCTATCTATCGTTTACTACAGTTAGGGAACCCCATTACAGCAAAGCCCTCCATTACAGGTATATCTAAACTACATCCCTTTTTCGATAAAGAGATGTAAATTAGACGTATTGAAATTGTAAATGAAGCTGGGATTTGAATTTCCCATGCTTCATTTACATAATGGCATCCGTGGCTTTTTTATTCCGAAAAGCGGATTTTTGGGGGAAAAAAATGCAGTCAAGATGGGGATCGTTCGACAGCAGCCATTATTTAAATGAAGCACAGGAAGTTCAAATCCCGGCTTCATTTACAATTTCAATACGTCTAATTTACATCCCTTTATCGAAAAAGGGATGTAGTTTAGATGTACCCTATATCCCCTGCATTTCCCATAGTCGCTACCCTCCACAACACAAGGGTATTTGATTGCCTTGGCTAATTCAATCAGCAGTCTCCACTATAGAGTTCCTCACTCAGAATTGATTCCCAACTTATACTGATCGGTAGCTTTTTTGCATTGCAAGCTTACACAGGGCAATTGCCACTCGCTTCTCCACTGTCAGAACAATTCTCATTCTTGTATTCTTGCACTTGAGGGCAGTGGAAATCAATTCGCAAACTTCCATTAAAGTGGCCTTATGCATTAGGAACTTTTCCAGGCACTGCTTATTGTCCCATGCCTGCATCACAGTGTGATCCCACCAGTCTGTACTTGTCCGACAGCATCAGAACCAGTGTTCCACTGTGTACAGAGGATCCAATGCTGATGTGCTTTGCAGAAGAGCATATTCATGGCCTCCCGAGATTCATCCTCGTTCCAGCAGACCCTGGATATATTCCAGCATTAGATGTACCACCGTTAATATCGACACAATGCAGGAAGTTTCTGGAGAATGTTGGGGATAACTTCATGGTATAAGTGCTGAAAGAACCGACATGGGGACATCCACAGCTTGAACTGCTGCTCACAAACAGGGAGGAACTAGTTGGGAAAGTAGAAGTGGGTGACAACCTGGGCAGCAGTGATCATAAGGATCCTGACAAAAGGACGAAAGGAGAGCAGCAAAATACACACCCTGGACTTCAGAAGAGAAGACTTTGACTCCCTCAGAGAACTGATGGGTAGGATCCCCTAGGATGCTAACATGAGGGGTGAGAGGGGCCAGGAGAGCTGGAAGTATTTTAAAGAAGCCTTAAAGGGACACACACCCCTCCCCAGACAGCTGCTTCTCTGTTTCTGCTGCCTGCTTGCCAGCCTCTTTGGCAAAGCAAAGTTTCAGCAGGGCCTGCTCTGTCTGCCCTGTGCTTTTTGGGGACAACACAGCTTTTTCCCTTTTGCTGTTTGCCATGGAGCCCGAGCTGCCCCTGCACAGGCGACAGCCCCACACGGTCATGCTGCAGTTCCTGCCTACTTGTTACTGAATTCCTCACCTCTCTCAAGGTGCTGCTCATGCAGCTCGACTCCACCCACCCTCCCCTGCACACCGTGCACTGCTGTTTCTGGCCATTGGCCACCAGCTCTGACTGGTGGGACTGGATCATCCTGGAGCAGTGGGACGACCAACAGTGGCTGCACGGAATAGTGGGATTCAGGACAACATATTACTAATAATTGAGAACCACAGCTTTATTTACTCACACTTTTTCTATTAAAAAAAGCAAAATCTTATTTTTATTCAAATTCAGTTTCTCACCTGATTAGGCTGAAATATTAAAATACAATGTTTTAGTTATTTTTTTCTCATATTGGATATAGTGGATTGCTTCTTAACAGAACAATAGGATGGACAGTAGTGGGACAGCTGTACTGAAGAGGAGTTTTAAATATACTATCCCACGCAGACCTTCAAAATGACTTGTGATTTACTGTGTGAAATCCTTACGAGCAATGTGGAAAATCAAACAAAAGTTACAAGGGTGCAAACCAAGATATGGTGAGTGTTCTAATACAGTTATCAAGTAATATTGCAAATAGAAAAAAAGCAACAAATAACAGGAGAGAGGGAGAGGATGACCTGTTTCTAAAGTTACAAATTATTTAAAATGTATAGCCAGGGAATTAACAATTTAGAAAGGGAAATTTCCTGGCTTGCCTCATTAAAAAACAACAAAAGTGTCTGCTGACAGTACCTCTGACAAGCCCATTTTAGACTTGTGAGCCTTACCGCTGGTTGCCTATGGATCACTGTATGGTGCTTCCTTGAGAGATGT